TTAGAGAGCACCTATTAAGATTGTTGCGGTGCACGAAGAGGTGGTGTGATCATAATGTTGACACACTCCACCAGTTACTTATTTATGGCTGAGTCAACCTAGGGGGGCCCAAAACTGGTTCAGATATAATCCATTGCTAATGTTTGTTGTGGCCGGTTTCCAGCGCAGTGCGACTAACCACTATGCCACCAATCCCAACACAGAGACAAAACTTATCTCGATAGCCTTAACAGACTGTTGGGGCAAGTGCTGTTAGCGAGCACCTATGAAGGTCGGCACGGCACACGAGGGGGTGGGTTGGCCAGAACCACACCGGCCATCTTTACCTCCCTAGTGGCGGTATTTGCCACACACCGCACCAGGTACTCAATCCCGACAGATACTCTTCCACACAGACTCCCAGTAATCTCACACACATGCAATATCCATGTACATTCACATGCAAAAGCGCAAAAAAACAACCACACATACAGTGAGGGAAAAAAAGTATTTGATCCCCTGCTGATTTTGTACGTTTTCGCACTGACAAACAAATGATCAGTCTATAATTTTAATGGTAGGTTTATTTGCACAGTGAGAGACAGAATAACAACAAAAAAATCCAGAAAAACGCATGTCAAAAATGTTATAAATGGATTTGCATTTTAATGAGGGAAATAAGTATTTGACCCCCTCTCAATCAAAAAGATTTCTGGCTCCCAGGTGTCTTTTATACAGGAGATTAGGAGCACACTCTTTAAGGGAGTGCTCCTAATCTCAGCTTGTTACCTGTATAAAAGACACCTGTCCACAGAAGCAATCAATCAATCACATTCCAAACTCTCCACCATGGCCAAGACCAAAGAGCTCTCCAAGGATGTCAGGGACAAGAATGTAGACCTACACAAGGCTGGAATGGGCTACAAGACCATTGCCAAGCAGCTTGGTGAGAAGGTGACAACAGTTGGTGCGATTATTCGCAAATGGAAGAAACACAAAAGAACTGTCAATCTCCCTCGGCCTAGGGCTTCATGCAAGATCTCACCTCGTGGAGTTGCAATGATGATGAGAACGGTGAGGAATCAGCCCAGAACTACACGGGAGGACCTTGTCAATGATCTCAAGGCAGCTGGGACCATAGTCACCAGGAAAACAATTGGTAACACACTATGCCGTGAAGGACTGAAATCCTGCAGCGCCCGCAAGGTCCCCCTGCTCAAGAAAGCACATATACATGCCCGTCTGAAGTTTGACAATGAACATCTGAATGATTCAGAAGACAACTGCGTGATAGTGTTGTGGTCAGATGAGACCAAAATGGAGCTCTTTGGCATCAACTCAACTCACCGTGTTTGGAGGAGGAGGAATGCTGCCTATGACCCCAAGAACACCATCCCACACCGTCAAACATGGAGGTGGAAACATGCTTTGGGGGTGTTTTTTCTGCTAAGGGGACAGGACAACTTCACCGCATCAAATGGACGATGGACGGGGCCATGTACCGTCAAATCTTGGGTGAGAACCTCCTTCCCTCAGCCAGGGAATTGAAAATGGGTCGTAGATGGGTATTCCAGCATGACAATGACCCAAAACACACGGCCAAGGCAACAAAGGAGTACCTCAAGAAGAAGCACATTAAGGTCCTGGAGTGGCCTAGCCAGTCTTCAGACCTTATTCCCATAGAAAATTTGTGGAGGGAGCTGAAGGTTCGAGTTGCCAAACGTCAGCCTCGAAACCTTAATGACTTGGAGAAGATCTGCAAAGAGGAGTGGGACAAAATCCTCCTGAGATGTGTGCAAACCTGGTGGCTAACTATAAGAAACGTCTGATCTCTGTGATTTCCAACAAGGGTTTTGCCACCAAGTACTAACTTAAGTCATGTTTTGCAGAGGGGTCAAATACTTATTTTCCTCATTAAAATGCAAATCAATTTATAACATTTTTGACATGCGTTTTTCTGGATTTTTTTGTTGTTATTCTGTCTCTCACTGTTCAAATAAATCTACCATTAAAATTATAAACTGATAATTTCTTTGTCAGTGGGCAAACGTACAAAATCAGCAGGGGATCAAATACTTTTTTCCCTCACTGTACAAGCATACGTACTCGTAAAAAATAACCCATACACACACTCATGATCGTGGCATCATCACGACGCTCATGCCAGCCTAAGTGCACTTTGCTGACCACATGACGTGTCAAAGTCTCACTGGCAGTTTGTCACAGAACAGACCCAGTTGTTACCTGCCAACAGACGAAGATGACTGGCAGATGCACCACCTGGGCCAGCTTGTTTCATCCACCCAACACTCAACTCCTTGTTGTAAGCGTCGCTCCTCTGCATTCTGTTGTTGCTGGAGGGTGACTGCCTCAAACTGCCGAGTGGTGTCTTCTACAATTGGGTACCAGTAAATTCTAGTTAGTTCAAAATGCTCCTGTACTACATTATCCCATTTCCTCTACTGCCCGTGCCGAGTCTATTTAGCCCCCTCTATGCGGCCAAACAAAAGCTGCTTGGGCATGTGGTGGCTGGGCATGCGGGCTACGTGACCCAGCCAACGAAGCCGCCTCGCCTGTCCGAAGAGCCCACTGATGGGACTGTGTCCTGATATTTCAAGGATCTGTAAGCCTTAATATGCAATATCAGACATTAACACGCACAAGACAAGACACCCTCCATACTGCTGTTAGCGAACACCTATGAAGACCGGAACTGCCCGACCACCTTTGTCTAGCCAGTGCAGATGTTCACACACCGCACCAGGTACTCATTTGACCTAGGGGAGGCCCAGAACCAGTTCAGATAATCGTCACGAGTGTTGACCACGAGCGAGATCGAACTCGGTTCGTAGCGCAGCATGCTAACCCGCTGCACTACCGTTCTCCGAATGCACTGACACATTTTAACACGCACGAAGCCACACGCACACACACGCGCAAACAAAGCCAAACAAACTAATCCATGCGACCACCAATGTGTTGCGACACACCATCGCTTCCACGACGCAAATGCTCACGCGCACGCCAATGCCCCCACGGATTTCTAAACCTCTGTATCCGCCGAGCCCTCTACTGTACACAAATCAGCGTTTCCCCGCCGATTGCCGCGGTGCACAGCAGCTACTTATCTGCTTTAACTACTGCCCCCCCAAACCTCGGGGCCGCGGCAGGGATGGCCCGGGCAGCGTTACTACTACGCCCATCAAACATTAAACGAGCTGAGCCACTGCTATGATGGCCCGGCGGTCGGTCAACGCGCCGCGAGGACTACCGCAGCAGCTCATTGATTTGGACACTGCAGAGGCCTCTGGGTAGCAGGTAGAGTGGCCGGGGTGGACGGGTTGGTTTGTGAGGAGGTGGGTAAGGTAGTTGGGTGTGTTGGCGATTAGGTATGCAGATAAATGAGCAGGCCTATTTAGGCTCGTGGTTGGGTGGGTGAGTTGGTATGCAGGTAGGTTGGTAGGTAGTTGATTAAGTATGTACGTAGGTGTCAGGTTGATGAGTATATATACAGGTAGGTAAGACATTAAGTGGGTAAGCACGTATTTAGGTAAGTGGTGGATAGATAATTTGGTGGGTGATTAGGTATGCAGTTATGTGTTTGGGTAGGGAGGTAGTTGGGTGGGTTAAGAGGAATGCAGGTGGGTGGATAATTAAGGTATGCAGTTAGGTAAGTGGGGAGGGAGGTAGAAGAGTGGATGCGTGTGTGAGTAGGTATGCAGTTAGGTGTGTACATAGGTCGGGAGGTAGTTGGGTGCGTGAGTAGGTATTAAGGTGAGTAGGGAGGTAATTGAGTATATCAATATCAAACCGGCAAACATCAACATCAGAAACATCAACATCAGAAAAATCGATGCTTTCCTTAATAATTAAATAACTACATTAACAAGTAAAAACCTCACATTCCTTTGTCAAATTACTGCTGCATGAAGGCCTCCCCACGCCATGCCTATCATGGGAGTTTGTTTGGCCATACTTCACCATACCGGTGAGTGCGGTCTGATGAAGAGCGGGCGCAGACCCGGTCCAGACACGGATCAGCCCCGAGGTTCAGCCACGGCCGGGAATCCGTTGGGGCTCATTCTGCCTCACAGCGCGTGGCGTCGAGCGACGGTGCACGAGCGGTCAGCACGCCGCGCGCTGTGAACCCGCGAGCCAACTCCGGGCCACAGCCTCCGTTCAGTGACGAGAGAAACCCGAACGGGTCGCGAGCCCAAACCACCCAGCACCCCCTGCCTTCGGCGACCTGCAACTGGCCAGCGTGGTGAAGTATGCTCAAACAAGTGTCCAGACTGACGACACGGCATGGGCTAGGCCTTCATCCAGCAGTGGACTGACGAAGAAACAACCGATAACCAATATTACGATAAAAACCAAACAACAAGTTCGTAGCGAACCCATTGCTTTTAAGTTTGCTAACTTCATACAATGGATCACAAATCCGACCGTCACACATCCACCCCGACCGATAAACTGCCCACACACGGCACAGACAGTTACCTGCGCATGCCGTGACTGTCATTGCCTGTAAATGTTCGCACATCTGACCTTTTAATATAACCTATAACGTCAGTCCACCATCGAGTCGCACAAGCGACGTTGGAATGGCAGTCGTCGTTACATCCCAAACACAGGGATTACAAACAAACCAAGCCGACACTCCAACTGACAGAGCCTCTTGTCAGAACACTTCACTCACAATCGATTACGAGTGCGACCACCACCATCATCATCATCATCACTCCACGGTCGATAAAATAGAATACAACTACTTAGCGCGCAATCAACAGCCATCGTCCTACATCTATCACGCCCCCCCCCCCCGCCCTTCACGGCAACGTGGACTTTACATGGCCCGACGAGACACAATCACACCGCTCGAAGCCTCGTTTTTGAGAGGCTAAACTTTTGACTTAACCGGCACAGCCCACGAGGAGCATTTAAAAATAATCAAACCGTGAGTCGGCGCGACCACAACGCCACGAGGCAAGTAAAACCGCGTCCTCCGCCTCGGTACTCACCATGCTTTTTTGCACCGCCGATCTTAACAGCTGTGACATCCTGGATTAATACACCGGTCGCGCGCAGCCGGGCAGCCTCCCGCGCTGCCCAACCAAACGATATCAACGTCGCTCCAAAAAAAAAAAAAAGACTGAAAAAAATTTGTAATAATTTTTTTTAAAGTCACCCGCGGGCCGCGGACACGCCAACAAACGGCCAGACTTTTTGAAAGCGGAGGAGCCTGGGATTATTGATATCGGGGCCCGTCGATAAGGCCCCGTGCTGCTCGGTTGAAACGGGGGTTTTAAACCGCACGCACAGGGACGGCAGGCAGGCGGGGGGAGCTGGTAGGATCTGCGCGCGTCTCGCGTGTGCGTGCGCACTATAAGCCTGGCACGCTCTCGCTAATTCACGCACTTCCGCTTCGGCGTAACCTCACAAAACGTTAACCCCTTCTTTGCCGCGAACAGTCGCGGAGAATTTGGGTATCCTCCGATGCACTTTTAAAAGTTTTTTTTGTTTCCGCTCGCGCTGCTTTTTTGCACTGCGATGTGTCAACCACTTCCCCCCCCCCCCCACCCATAATTTGTTCTTCCCACCCCTGTTGTGTGAATGGAAGAACGGCCCAAGCCTGCGTGATATCTCAACGAGAGCTCTGTACGGAAGGACACACGCCGAGCTGTAACACCGGGCCATGTGTTCATTGTAGCAGTGTGAACTGCGTCGGTGGAAAAACTTAATCAAGATAATTATAAAACGTTGTTGGCTTTCATGACCAATATCATCCATAACCCACAGGTTTTTTGGGTTAGAGCGCGTGAATATAAATGGGTTGTTAAGCCCGCCACAGCCAATTAGTAAGGTGTGTCCCGTGAACAGAACATCATACCAATTCGTTACTAGTACAGCGCACCGGTTGTGTGTTGGACAGCAAATCCACAATGTGTCGGGTGGTGGCGGGTTGAACGACACATTTATATTTACGTCCATTAAAGAAAATTATTTTCAAGTAGACAATCTTGTTGCTGCCGTGGTGCAACGGTATAGCTCTCCTCATCACCCACATCATTACAGGAGAAAGCCTGTTGAATAGTCCGACGTTTCAGGTGATGCCCCTTCTTCAGGGCACAGAGGAGGGCAAAGAGAGAATGACTTCCATGTGTTGAGGCTCTATTTTTAGAATGTAGACACTGTACTGGGACATCTGGACCAAATTGACAAATCAGTTTCAGATATTGATTAGCAGACTAACTTTTGTAAAAACGACTCGAGGCAAAACTGTTGGTGTCAGCTCTCTACAAGCATGTCAAGTGTGACGTGCGATCTCCAACTATCAGTACTACCCGCCCTCTGGTACTCCCCCTGAAGAAGGGCCATTGCCTGAAACATCAGCCTATTACGTACTTTACCGTTCTAAAGCAGAGTTAATGATGGATAAGTTAATGACAAAGGTCATTAAGTTCATGTCATCAAGTTAAAATGACGTTTAAATGTCATTACACGAGTGTCATCAAGTTCAGAAAATTATTAAGTTAATGGGGAACGTATTTCGCCACTAACAGGCTGATGTTTTGGGCAACTGGATCTTCTTTGTGACAGATCAAGCGGTTCCGACACTGCCTTGATGAACGTCATTACCTTGCTAACAGTAACTTTACGCTTGCTGGACGTTGACGACAAAAACGTTATCACGATTAAAAACGTTATCACGAATAAAAAAAGAAAGCTCTTTAATCACCAGCGCAACGTCACAGCAATCAAATTGTAAATGTTGAGGGTTTGGTTCTCCAACACACCGGGAGGTGGGAATGGTAACTAATAGGAACGTTCCACTCACGTCACAGACCTTACCGATTGGCTGCATCGGATGGAGGTGGGTGTACGACACTTCTACATTCATGCGAAGTCAACCAAAAAAAAACGTTATCACGAATAAAAAAAGCTTTTGACGTCAGCCAACTCGGCCAGGCTTCTCTTAAGAAGTCTGAAACATTCTTGAGATGCGTCCAGAGCTAACTCGGGAGAAGCAGTGTTTCCAAAATGCTTTGGACTGTACCCCAAGATTTCCCACGGTTTGCCGGGACCTCAAGCGCGGCAGCGAGGTGGAGATGCCGATGGTGTTCGACGGTGTGGCAACGGTGTGGCAACAGTGTGGCGATGGTGTGCGATGGTGTTCAATGCTAACGATGACCGAGTCGAATGTTCCAAGCCATCAAAGCGCAAACGATGCCAACGCCACAACTGGGACCCCCACAACTGGAACCCCCCACAACTAGGACCCCCCACAACTGGGACCCCCACAACTGGAACCCCCCACAACTAGGACCCCCCACAACTGGGACCCCCACAACTGAGACCCCCACGTGTGAGCCAGACGGTCCTCGTCTGCAACATTGGCAGTTCACCCAGCACCGATTCAAATGACAAGCCCTGCTGATGAGACACTGTGTGTCAAAACCGGTACAGAGTATTGCTTGCCTTGAAGCTCTGCTGATAAAATGAAGCGCTCCCAGAAGGAAGACATATTTGTATTGCTGTTACGTAGACAGACGGACGTGTGAAGGTGTACTGTCTGTTTATTTTGTTGACGCTACAGTTGCAGTATTACATAATTTCTCATCTCTCGGATGTTTAAAATTAAGTGCCTTCTGACAAGTCAGAAAAACTCAACACCAGCTTTTTGCTTGCTACTGTTGAATATTTTATATGTGTGCAAGGGCACACACACACATATAACAACCGCCATTTGCCACTAAGTGGCGGTGACGTCACCACGGCCCTTGTGCCAGGGTATGTGCACGTTAAGGCCACATGAAGTGTCGAACGCCCGCTGGCAGGAGGTCACGGGACAGACAGGTGCCATGGGTCGACTGACTGAGATGACTGGCCGACGCACCACCTGTGCCCCCTACTGTGCCAACACGCACACACTCGCACACTCACAAACAACAGCAATTACTAACACTGGCCACTAAGTGGAGGTGATGTCACCACAGCACTCGTTCCAGGCTAGGTACACCTTGAGACTACTCAAGAGTGCCAAATGCTCACAGCCATACTGAATACAAAGGACGCCCTCCCCACATGTAATTGACCGCTGAGGCACGTGGAAATTCTACATTACTATGGCGTGGGGAAGGAGGATGGGGGGAGGGGGGCAGCCTATGCACAGAACAATCACGAGTGGGACCTTCCACAAAGTGGCAAATATTTTATCGACTGTGATAAAATATTTGCCGAATCGACACCCAACTGGGAATTAAACTTTCGACCTTCCCCCAATGTGGGTTGAGTGCTCTGATCAGTGCTGCTGGTTTATTTACGAGTATGATCTAATTTTCTGAAAACCGTATCGGGGGGGGGGGGGGAGGGTTATATGACCATACTTCACCTTAACGTGCTGTGGGGGTGTCTCTTAGCCACACAAAAGCACGTTGTGGGGTACACGCACACCCACGACACACACAGCAGCTGCGTCTTTGGCTCATGGCTCAGGAACCCCGCGACAACGGTTCCGTTTCTCCTCTCCGACACGGCCATCATGAGCTTGCCACCCTCCTCGTCATGAGCCACCAACGCAGCCACCACCGCTGCTTGACCCAAACGCTGGAGCGCCCGATGAGATTTTTACGGTACACTTTTAGGTCATTAATTTTTTAAATGTTAAAGTGAAACTCTCCCTTTACAACTCCCACACCCCCATCATCACCCCCCCCCCCCCATTACTCGCGCACTTAAAAATGTAACAACTCGAATAGGCGGGATGGGACGCACCACAAAAAAATTACAACGTGCTTATCTTTTGGGAAAAAAACCCCGAGTTTAATAATGAAAACGTAGGAATGGTGCAAAAGAAGACCTTTTTTAATCGGTACACATTACCTCTGTTGTGAGCCCAATGGATCATGAAACAAAAACAATGATGGAGCGGGGGGGAACATGGAACTCAAGGCGAAAAGCGTGCAAAGAAGCGCGGGCGCACGCACGCTTGGGAGTCGCACCGAGCAACAGAAAGAGGAACACAGGGACCATGAAACAAACGCTTCCACTTGAGGACGTCGTATTGCTGGCGAGGAGAAGTGAAGTTGGTGGACTGGACCAGAGGACACGTCGCTAAACGGGACGGCGGCGGCGGCTCGCACTAAAGAGGGAACCAAACAGTGGGGCGGCGGCTGCCGGCGGTGGGAAGTCACCTGGGAGAGAGGGCACGTCCACCGTGGAGACGGAGCGGCAAAATCGGCTCGCTCACGTGTGAGCTGGGATGCATCGTTGTGTCACGCGCACTGGGAGCTATGGCGGAAGCGGTCTGGCGAGGCTTTCATGTGGCAGCAGAGAGAGGTTGGCCGATGATGATGATGAATACAATTTGGTCCAAACATTTTTTAATGCAAATTTTTTATCTGCAAATTACTCGATTTCGATTTACAAATTGGAACCATCGCAACCTACTTCGAATACTTGGCAGGACCTTCCCTGAACAAGTAATGAAACTGTGAGGCTTTCCTGGATGAACAGGCAAAATAATAATGACATTCCAGTCTGCACTATGCGTGGTCACCGCTGACATATAGAAGTTAAAGGATCCTTGAGCAATTGGCCGAAAAATATGCCCAAGATACCAGCCTGGCTGGCAAATTGTAACAATCGCTTTCTTGAATAATTTGTATCTCTCGATCACAAGTATGTAAGATCGCATGATCACCATTACAGCTTTTTCAACGTAAAATGCCACTGCAAGTATGTGGGAGTAGGTTTCCTGGAAAATACACATTTTGGGGTATTTTTTTCTACGTCAAATGAAACAGGTGAGAGATGAACTTTTGCTCACATCTGGTGATGCTAGCTGTAATCTCCAGCGAAAAGTTATCCAAAATTATACAAGTTTTGCTTGCTCTCCAATGTAACTGGTTTGCCGACAACTTGATTTTATTGTTTTTTGTCGAGTTGGTAGCGGGTTAAAGTTAATAAAATATTGACGATAGCTGCATCATCTAACCCAGTAATAAACATTTTTATAAATCAGATGAAACTACAGAATGAAAAGTAACAGGATTTCACGAGTATAAAAGTCGCTAAGCTAAGCGTTCTGCCTGCGATGGTAGACACTACTCATGGTGGACACCGCCCTAGGTCCACAACATCCATGGTGGACACTACTCATGGTGAATACTGCCCATGGTGGACACTACCCATGGTGGATACTACTCATGGTGGACACTACCCATGGTGGATACTACTCATGGTGGACACTACCCATGGTGGATACTACTCATGGTGGACACTACCCATGGTGAATACTGCTCATGGTGGACACTACCCATGGTGAAACTGCTCATGGTGGACACTACCCATGGTGGACACTGCACATGGTGGATACCATCCTTGGTCCACACCATCCATGGTGGACACTGCCTATGATGGACACTACTCAAAGTGGCTCATGGTGGACAATGCTAGTGTTGGACCTTGCTCACGGTGGACACCGCCCATGGTGACACTGGCCATGGTGAATAATAGTTGCCGCGTCCACCCCCCGGCAGTAACTACCA